TATAATTTTACTGTACATGAGATGAAAAAATGGGACGTGTAAAACATAGATAAAAAAGAATATGACAATTTGCAAATCCTTTTCAACCCATATTCACCTGAATACACTACGAAGACAAGCTATTTAATGTTAGAACAGATAAACTCTATTGTTTTGTTTTTCACTCACTTTGCATTTAATGCCTGCAACACACTCCAAAAAAGCTGGGATAGGATCGTGTTTACTACTGTGTTACATCACCTTTCCTTTTAACAACACTCAATAAGTGTTTGGGAACTGAAGACACCAATTGTTGAAGCTTTGTAGTGGAATTCTTTTCCATTCTTGCTTGATGAACAACTTCAGTTGCTCAACAGTTCAGAGTCTCCGCTGTCATATTTTGTGCTTCATAATGTGTCACACATTTTCAATGAGACACAGGTTTGGACTGCAGGCAGGCCTTGGAATACATACAATAGGAAAGATGAATTTAAAGAAAGATGCTCTGATCCTATGTTTACGCATAAACACAGAATCATATGCTCAAAAAAAACACTCGCTCAGTGCAAGGCAGGTGGGGGTGGGGGGGTTAACACATGATACAGGGTGGGATGCAGCAGAGCCGGTGATATTTCAGGTTAATACTCCGTGCTGGAAATAATCAAAGACCTCCAGAGTCCAAAACCAGTTGTTATCAACCCAAGTTATAGTTCATCAGAGTTCAGTTCTCGGTCACCACCACGGCCTTCGGACTGGTCCACCCACAGATAATATCGGGGAGGGAATGGGGAATCAAGCCTTTGTTCTCATAACTCTAATAACTGCTGAGCACCAAGGTCAGCAGCTGCAGGGATCCGAAAGATGAACATAATTGTTTTGGTACGAGCAGCCTTGAATTTCTTGAAGCTTTACAGTCTGTAACTGCATCAATGTAATGGCGAAAAAAATGCTGAATGTTCCGAATTTCATCTCCTCCTCGCCTCTCTTTCTATCTGAAATGTCACCCAGGTGTAATCCTACTCTTCACGGGCACGCTGCTGTACTGCGATTCTCATCAGAATCACATCCATTTTGCGACTTGTATCCCCCAGCATCTGAGTCTGTGCGTTTCCAGTACAGGAGGTTTTGTCCATGGTTCCTGACATCTTTTGACATTCCTGGACTGCTGTCAGGATCGCTTTCATTTTCCAATGAGCCAGAACTCTTCCACAGCCGATCAGCAGGAATCCAGTTATCATAAATCTAAATGTGTACAAATCCTCCACGTCTTCAATGGAGAGCGGCGCCAAACAGATCAGGTTCCAACCCCACCAAGAACCAGCGACCCGACCAGCCGCCACCATTACACAGGGTCAGCTGCGCTCCCCTCGCTCCAATCTCAATGTGGAAAAAATAGTGTCAATTGCATTCTGAGACCAGTTGACCAGATCCATAATTCCTTTTGTTTTCAGATGATAGGTAGGAGAAAGACTTGAAAAAGCTGCGAAACAGGAAGGAGGGACAGGTTCGGGAGAGAGAGTAAAAGCATCCGACCCTTCTGAAGGCCAAGCAGAAAAGTTGTGATGAACCTTGCCCCTTCTTAGCTTGTAAAACAACTGAGCCTTTCAGGGATGCTCCCTTTATACTCAATTATAACTTTCACCTTTTTCCAAATAACCCTTTCCATCTGTGGAATGCTCCAGGATGTTTTTTAGCTCCCCAACTTTGCCAGACTTTTGTTGCCACTGTCCCACATTTTTTTGGAACATGTTACAGGTATCAAATTCAAAATAAGTGAATATTTGCAAAAAAATAAAATAAAACAATAAAGTTCATCTGTTTGAACATTAAAAATTGTGTTCTGTTTCTGTTTACACATCTTCCCCACTTTATTGAAATTGGGGTTGTAGGTCTTACATTTGGTCTAAAAGCTGTTTATAATGTGAATCCTGCGTGACGTTTTGATTATATTTTCCAGGCAGCAGTGGTAACAAACTGCAGTCTGGACAGTGAGACTTAACCAACCACTCCTCCTTGTGTTGTGTAACCAGGAGCGCTACGGGGGAATCCTGGCAGGAGATCATGTTGTCATGTCTGGGGGGGCAGCAGTGTGAAACGGACCCCTCTCTTCCCCCTGCAGCACTGACAGCTGACCAAAAAGAGGGCTGTGGCTCTGACTTTGCCTACTTCTACTTTGTTTCATTCATATTTTTCAGCTCCTTCCTGGTAAGTAAGATGAACCATTTCTTCCTCATTCTTTCATGTTTGCATGTAGCTTTAAATCTGTAACTTCTTCCATCCAGATGTTAAACCTGTTTGTGGCTGTGATCATGGATAACTTTGAATATCTTACAAGAGACTCCTCCATCCTGGGTCCACATCACCTGGATGAGTTTGTCCGAATCTGGGGGGAGTATGATCGGGCTGCCAGGTAAGATTTTCTTTGGATTTACATCAACGTTTTATCTTAGAAAATCAGTTTTACATGGAAAAGACATAAAAACATTGAGTTGTAACATCATACAAAGAGTCAGAATGATGTAAAAACTACAATGTGTGAGTTTTGTTTGTTTAAAGATAGTTTTACTGAAATTAAACAAGCTACTTTGTCCTTTCTCTCCTAAAGAAAACAGTGTGAAGGTTAATTTGTTTCAGGAGACTTTGGCTGCAGCGACCACCATTGCTAATCATTTTTGCTGGAATTTGATTTGCAAGAGAGTTTTTGATTGGACTCAAACACCTTTCAAATTAGTCATCAAAAGCTGTCAGCGGTTTACAAAAAAATGCTTTATTTTTAAATGGCAGTGAAATTACCTAAATACATATTGCTTGTTATTGCTATGTGTGAATAGGTGACACTTTGTATA